TTTTTGCTTCTAGAGCCCAAGGCAGATAGAGCAAGTCCACTCTTGCAAAAACTCCAACCAAAGCCCTTGATTAGCAGGGGGTTTTTTGTTTGTTTGTTTGTTTTTGGTCATGGCCTATTGAAGCCAACACCGCTAAACACTTTGTATACTTTTTATAGACCCTAACTACTACTTCTTCATTCTTACTTTGACCTCTGATCCCACCGTTTTTTTAAAAGAATACTATTTTCTTTTTTTTTTTCCCACATATGTCACTGCCAGACTCTCCCAAGCATCCAAAAGCACATGGGTATCAGAGTTTGCAAAGATTTCTGGTGTGCCCTGACTGGGCATCACTGTACATGCATTGCAATTATCATTAACTCCTAGGACATTCTAAAAGCCCTACAGCCTCCAGACCCATAGTGACTTGTCCATAGTGAAGTGGGACAGGAGATGTGTCTGTTGGGAAGTAACATGATTGGTGGCATGGGAATCCTGATGTTAGATTGAATAAACAAATGACTCTGTCCCCAGTGACACTAGCTCCAGGAACTGGGGTATAATGTCAGATTGGAAACTTGATTTCTCAAGGCATGTTTCCAGACTCCAGTCACTCCACGCTTGGCTTCAACAAGAAAGAAAAACACTGGCAACAGCTGCTAATTCTTGGGTGGTTATCAGCAGCTAGAGTTTAAACAATCTCTTGTTTAAACAGTAGGAAACTGGACACTTGACAACAGAGCTAGACTTCCCAAGAGTCAAGGCCAGGTACAGAAGAAATGATCAAAGTGTTCAAAAGAAATGCCAGGTAAGAATGAAGATGAATAACCACTTCAAGGCCTCAAACTATTGTGTTCTTTGGGCCTTAGAGTTGCCTCCCAGGTGACTCAGAGATGGCCTGGGAACTTGTGTGTACATGCATATATGTGTGTGTGTGTGTGTGTGTGTGTGTGTGTGTAAGTATGTCAGCTGCAGGCTCCCTCCACATCCACTCCTATGCCCTGCAAATGCATTAAGAGACAGCCAAAAGCCTCCCTGCCCACTATGGTTGGATTAGGAGTGGGGGTATTGCCTGCGAAGGCCACAGTGTATGACATGGAGGGGTACCAAGCTGAGGCATGATCTCCTATAGTGATTCCAGGAGTCCTTAGGGATTTTTTTTTTAAAGAAAAAAGAACAAGTAAAGGAAAGAATACTACTCTAAAGCCAAGGGCTTGTTTTGTGATTGCTTTGAGATAAAAACAAATAACTGAAAATAAACCAAATATTTTCTCAAAATGCTGCCCAATTGGCCATTTGGGTAAAAAGTCAGCCTTACCTTGACATACTGAACGAGACGTTCAGAGACATTGACTTTGTATGTCTGTATGCCCAGCTCCTTAGACAAGCGCAAGATTCTGTTCTGGGTAGGGCCAACATAAGCTCCGCCAACATCGACGTAGTTCACATGTTCATTCTGCAGAATGAGAAAAATTAGTCAAAAAACTAGTTAAAACTTGGGGTGGGGGGTAGTTTTTATGCCTTATTTAAAATAGCCCCATTTACTTTTTAAAACTTAAGTGTGCCTTACATCTCCCTTATGAAGTGCCTCTGAGGCTCGCCGCCTATAACTCAAGCGGCTGTCTGAATGAGAGTTGATTTTTATTTATCATGCTTTGGGCATGTCAGGTGTCTTGTGTTCCAATAATGTTCAAAATCCTTAGCCACTAATTTTTATTCTATTGTGACACTATCTTCTGTGTCTCTGCTTTCCCCCAACATATTTTCCAATTTTTTATTTTTGAACTGCATTGTAGATGATTCCTTCAGATCTATCACTTTACTCACTCTACAGCTATGTCTAATAAACTAACCTATCCACCAAGTTTATAAAATTTTAATTGGTATATTTTCATTTTTAGGAATCATTTTTTAATGTACTTGATTTTTTTAGTTTATTTCACCCTGCTCCTAGTTTTAAGCATTTTCTTTACTTTTTTTTTGAGACAGAGCCTCAAGCTGTCCCCCTAGGTAGAGTGTGGCACCACAGCTCACAGCAACCTCCAACTCCTGGGCTCAAGCAAGTCTCCTGCCTCAGCCTCCCAAGTAGCTGGGACCACAGGCGCCTGCCACAATGCCTGGCTATTTTTTGGTTGCAGCTGTCATTGTTGTTTTGGTGGGCCCGGGTGGATTTGAACCTGCCACCTTAGGTGTATGTGGCTGGCGCCTTAGCCACTTGAGCCACAGGTGCCGAGCCAGCATTTTCTTTTCCTTAAAACATATTAAACAGCAATTTTATGTTCTGTATAAAACCCAACTGTTATAAAATTTTTCTGAATCATTTTTTTTCTGCTTATTCTCTATTGGTGCCTTGTTTGCTTATATGTTTTATAATTTTTGAGTCTGGGTTGTTCATTTGTAGCAGTATCGATGAAGAAGATCAGAAGTTGGATGTGCTACAAATAAAGTTTGAGATGCCTGTTCAAGATCCAAGAGATCTGCAATTTCTAACTTCTATGTCAGAAAAACACGCATTGTTTTACTCAATGTTTTACTTATTTCATTGGAGAGTTATTCAGGGTTTTCATTCTGCCATAGTTTCAGAAATGAAGGGCTTCTTTGAGTTCTTTAACTTGTCTCTCCTTTAATCCTTACAGTCTCTTTTACTAACCATTCGTACCGTCCTCCAAATATTTTCTAGTGTCCAACATCCATTTTAAAATATGAAAAACAAAACTATAGTCAGCACTCCAGTAAATATCTAGGCTTTTACAAAGACAGCAAGGAGATTCCCTGGAGTATTCAAACATGATGTCTTTAGAACAATGACACTATCTTTAAAGCAAATAATCCTAAATAGAGCAATAAAGACCGTGAAACATTTTACAAATATTTCTTTAAAAAGAGGTGCCATGAAGATACCGGAAGTGTAATACTGTACTATGCTGCCCCTCGGTCTTTAGGATCTTGATTAAGATCTCACTACCTACGCAGCCTTTGAAGAGCTACACACATGCAAATATACGAAACCTGTGGTGGCCCTGAAGGCATTTCAACTTCATGTATTTGATTCTGAAGAAATACAAATGAATCACATTAGAAAAAACTGGGACACTAAACTAATGAGAGAGCTATCTGAACAGCTGCCTGGTGACAATATCAAATTTAACATTTCAGTACCTAAAGACCCAGAGTAGACTTTATGACATCTCCTCCTAAAATCAGCATAATTGATTATGCTATTAGAAAGCAATTCAGCATAGTATTCGAGTTCAGTTTCTTATTAAATAACTATTTTCATCCCTGCTTCTTAAAGCTCCTTTTTTCTCCTCTAGTCATTTGAATTATAAATGCTAAATCCTACTTAGTATTCAATATTTCTAAGTATTTCAGAGATTCCCTTCTCACATACCTAAGGGTGGTGTAAAATCTTGCTGAATATACAATAGTTCCTGTACGGCACTGACACATATAAATGATGCAGCATGGCACAGCAGCCCAGGCCAATAACATAGACGGGGATAAGCATGTTGGAATTCTCATTTCCCTTACACAAAGAAACTTGTTCTTAACTGAAAATCTGCAACATGACTGATGTTCCTATTTAATAACCAAGAGGTTTTACAGATAAGGAAAGTAGGGCTGAGGGACAACTTAATAACTATCTCCAAAATGAAGGAGTATTTTTCAGAAAATGACAGAAGAATCCTATCTAATAAGGGCATACTGACAGAATATGCAACCCTTCATTTGTACTACAACACACTGCCTTCAATTAGAATTTGAAGATGGAAGGGAGCTTCTTCAAGGGCATGTAGAATATATCTTATTGCCCATGTGAGAAAGCAGAGATATAAAGTACTAACACAACTTACCCAAAGCAGCATGTGGGGCCAGTACAGAGACTAGAATCCTAAGCTCATCATTCCCAGGCCAATAGCCTCCCAGTGGACTACATCTGAGGGAGTACTCAGAAATCCCCCAAATAAATTTTATCTGGATTGACGTTAATTTAAGGCAATCAAGCAAAGGTAGAGTAGCACTTCTGTAGTGTCCTCTGGGGATCTTGTCAAAATGCAGGTTCAGATTCAGAGGTCTAGAACAGGTCCTGAGATTTTGCTTCTCTATTGCACTCCCAGTTGACTCTGAGGCTGCTGACCCCTAGATCATACTTTGAGTAGTAGCAAGGCTGTAGAGCATTCTTAAAGCTGAGCAAAGTGGCAATAGGCCTATGATATGTCCCTGTATATTTAAAATAGTAGGAAGCAATGACAGAAGTTAACATGGTATAGTGTGACTGAAAGAGCTGCTACAATGTCCTAGGTCAGATGTTGTCTAGTGGTTATTCTAGTGTCCTTTCATCTTTTCTCTCCCAAGTCTGCTTCCATTATGTATCCTGGAAATGTTAAATATTTGCTTTCTCAGGCTTCCTAGCAGCTGAGGGTGACCATGTGACCCACCTCTAGCCAATGAGATTAAAACAAATGTTACTGGGGTCTTCTGGCAAAGGGAACTCTTTGTTGCAGACAAGGCTGAGATTGTCCCTCCACTTTCCTTGCCTTGAATGAGAACTTGATACTTAGAATCACAACACCCATTCTGTTACCACAAGGCAATATGTCAATATGAAAAGAATGGCAGAGCAGAAAGATAGCAAGAGCCTGAAGCTTTAATAACAAAACTGAACTCCTGCATCAGCCTGGACTACCTACCACTGAACTACTATGAAATAATCAAATGTTTGCATTGCTTAAACCATTCTGTTATTACCATTGCCTATACCATTCTGTTATTAGTTTCACTGAAACAACTTCTGGTTAGATAGATGCTTCCTTTCTTTTCAGTCACTTCCTTGGTCTGGTTTTGTCCTTACTGACAATCCACAGCTTTAAATACTCTATGTGTGTGTTCTAACAATCAGTATCATTAAGGACCTTCTAACTGCCAAGCATAAGGATGTCTTTTCTGCCTTTATCCTATGTCATTTGACTGTTGAGCATCCCATCTTCTTCCATTCAGTGACTTGCAAAGCTCTACTCTAGTTTGGTCCTCCTCCTCTGCCTCTACTGCTTCTCTCTCTCTGGCTCCTCTACCTCTGTTCCTGGCCCAGCTTTTATCTGCATGTGCCCCCAAATTCCATCTTTGCCCCTGTTTCCTTCTCACACTTCATAATCTCCTTATGTACTTTGATGAGCGCCCACAGATTCAAACACCTGCAACCACTCCTTTAAGTAGTCATAAATAATAGTGAGCATGCATTTTTCCAGAATGGAAAAAGCATATAAGTCTAAAAAGGCAGTGATAAAACAAGAACTGGGTTTCCTTCTCATACATAGCCAGACCCAACCTAAGCAAAGAGTGTCTCTGGCAGCAGCATACTCTTAGGGAACAAGGGCCAAGGGCAAAAGTTGCACAAAAATAAGCTGTATTTGGCCCTGCTTCATGTAGCCGCCACATTTCTATTAAGTTGTATATCACTGGATAAATATGGAACCTAGAGCAAGTGTGTGTGTCTGTATGCATGTGGATGTGTATGTTGTGGGTATATAGTCAATTCTAGTCCAGCCAAACTATAACCCCACCTGAGATACTGCACACTTGATTTAGATCTCTAGTATGGAAATTACAATACTGTATTAAAGTTATTTCTTCACATTTGTTGTCTTCACTACAATGTGAGCTACTTATTGAATGTCAGAGGCTATATCACTTTTTATTTAGTAATGGTGAAGAGAATGGACATTTATTTGATGGAGTACTTTAGAGCTATGGGGGACAAATGGGTTACCTGTATGAACTCTTGAGATTGTCTCTAGCCCTGTGACTTCCAACGGCACCACTTGTAGTTTGAGTGAGAGATTATACGTAAGTATTAACACCACTTACCCTCACAGTGTATGTTCTTCCGCCAACTCTGTCTCGTGCTTCCAAAACCAAAACATTAACTTCATGTTCAGCCAAGAGTTTGGCAGCAGACAGTCCTGAGGGGGTAAAAAGGGAGGAACATGTTAACATCAAATGCTAGACATCTAGACATCTAGAATGCTAGAGATTTAACACACCAAAGGAATATAGGGCATCACACACAACCCAATGATCTTGCTACCTTTCTAATAAATTTTGATCATATTGTGACTAACTAAGGCATCAATTTTATCACCCATTATAAGGGATACCAAAATGACCAGTTTAGTTGTCTTGCATTTTAGGTTGGTTAACAGAAATGAGATGTAATAATTCTAAAATGTATATCTTGTTTTCTGGTGACAATCATATCATATTTAAAGAATTTTTTGAGGCTCTTAATCAATCCCCATTGTATCCCTCTTCTAAACATCTTGATAGTATAAAAAGAAGAATATGTTTTCCTGAAATTTTCCCTGGACAAACCAGGCCTCAGTGGCTTTTCTCAACTTGAAACCCCCATGTAATCACTTCCTTTGCTGTATAACTCGACTATGTGCTTGGTAGATCTTAGATATTGCTTCCCTCACTAGATTCTAAGTTACCCAAAGGTAGGAACCATGCTTTATACTTTACTCATTGGCTCCAACACAGCCATGAACAAGTAAGTAAACTTCTAAATAAAAGCTTTCAGAAAAGAGTATTTAAAACCCAATATAATAATACTAGAAAAGTTAAGAAAGTGTTATAGATCAATATTTTATTAATGGTGCATGCTATCAGCATGATTTATCACTGATGTTGACCTTGATCAGATCACCTGGCTAACACAGTGTTTGTTAAGTTTCTCTACCATAAAGTTACTCCTTTTCTCCTTTTCCATAATATACTCTATGGAAAGAAGGCTATGCATAGCTCACACTTAAGCAGTGGAGAGTATGTTCCACTTTCAGAAGGGTAGAATATCTACATATAATATTTGGAATTCTTCTGCTATGGGCATTTGTCTCTTCTCCCCATTTATTTATCAAATCATTTATTTCTATCAGTATGGATTCACAAATAACTTATTTTATACTTTGTATTAGAATTTGATACTATGATATTTATTTTGTTACTCAAATTGTTCCAGCTTTGGTCACTGAAAGGTCTTACAGTTAGTTGGCTCCTGTGCTCCTTTGACATATTCTCATCATTTTTGTGTGTGTGTGTGTGTATAATTCTTTACTTTCTGGTACAACAGGATACTCCTGCCCCAACTTTAGAATCAACCATTTCTCCAATGACCTGTGGTCCCCTTTATTGGAGAATAGTATTAGAAACAAAGATCCAGGCTCCAGGTGTGCTCACTGTAACTTAGGTGCCATTGTTTCTAGGAACTCTCAGCTACAGTGTGAGGAAATTATGTATGCATACATTTATTTTTAAATTGACATTTATTTTTGCACTTCAAATGCTATCTTAATACTTATCTTTATAATTAATGGATCTTGTTACAAAAAATGAAGGAGACTCTCCTCAAATGAAGGAGACAGATAAACATAATACAAGGGGGAAAATGCTAGTTAGAATAATAGAGTAAAAGAGAAATAAGAGTGGCACCAGGGAAAAGACTAGTAAAATGATATAAATGATGTGTAGATTTGTGTACAAGTGGTTGATAAGAAGAACTATTCCAAGTGATTTTAAAACTCAGTGATTTGATGGTTCATTTCTAATGGTGTATACCCTAAAGATAAAAGGAGCTGCAAACATTTCTCTTAATAATCATTTGGTTGGTGGTAGTATTATTGTTGTTATCCTGAAGTTGTTATGTATGTAGTATGGGATAAAGCAATTGAGCAATCAGGTAGGTGTTGTTGAGATGCAGGATTTTGTGTCTGGGGATAAGGAAATTGAAGTGTTAAGAACTATGAGATGAAGTAATAACACTACAGTACTAAATGTGAATTGAAATTATTGGTATGATCGCTGGATATAATCTATATTTTTTAAAAAAGAAACATATTCCTGGTCAATGAAAAGGCCTAGAAAAAAATAATTTAACCAGTAGCAGTGAACACTCTGAGCACCCAGATTGTGGTTTCTAAAAATTCAATTCTGACTACAATAAACCATGGCTTGTGACCTATTTGAGGAAGATGTATAAAATAATCCTGGAATATTAAGTTATACCAGAAAGCAATGAGGCGGTCAAAAACTACTTGAATTGTGTCAATAGGACTCAGGAATCTACCTATATGTACTCCCAGGCCCAGGAGCCAAAGGCAGAATAATTTGAGTATCAAAGATAACATCTGCAATGGCTTAACTCCATGAATTCATAATAATACTAAACAAACACAAAAATTCTCATTGGCTACCTTTGGAAAATGCTAGGGAACCAACTTATCATTTTGAAAATGTTAAACAAAGGAAAGAATCTAGCATTCATCCTACCTTTCCTATTTATACTGACTCTCAAAGCAACCAGATAGCTAATGAAGGGAGATTTCGTTGTACAAAAGTATGCCAGCTAGTAAGTAAAGACTAAAATAACTAGAATGTCAGCATTTTGAAACTTCTAATGGGCTCGGTGCCTGTGGCTCAAGTGGCTAAGGCGCCAGCCAAATACACCTAAGGTGGTGGGTTCGAATCCAGCCCAGGCCCGCCAAACACCAACGATGGCTGCAAACAAAAAATAGCCAGGCATTGTGGCGGATGCCTGTGGTCCCAGCTACTTGGGAGGCGGAGGCAGGAGACTCACTTGAGCCCAGGCGTTGAAGGTTGCTGTGAGCTATGATGCCACAGCACTCTACCCAGGGGGATAGCTTGAGGCTCTGTCTCAAAAAAAAAAGTTAAGAAAAAAAGAAACTTCTAATGAATTAATGGATCTAGCATAAGGATCATCAACAGCTGCTAACATCACATACAAAAAAAGAGATAACCAGATGTTATCTGCCTCCGGATGGAAGCACATACCACTACCTATGAATAAGTTTTACAAACCAGAAGGACAGATGGATGGACAGAAGGGAGGAACAAATTAAATTCTCATGTGTATAAGCCTCTACATGTGATACCTAGGGGTCGGGGGACACATTAAATAACACCACTAGGATGTAGTCAACAAAATCCAGACTGTAGAAAATCATACAGGATCACTTTTTTCTTTAATGGTCTACTCCCACTCTCTTTTCCTTTTATCATTCACAGGCTTTTCCTACAATAACTCTCTTAGAGTACTAGTTCTGTCTTGATGCCTGCTCTCACAGGATTTGGGCTGACACAGCATTTTAGTCATGTATAAAATAGTATGGTATATACACAGCCAGAATCAAGGATGAGTTTGAGTCTCCAAGATCTAAAACAGAGTCTAAACCATATCCAGCACTGCTATTTGCTAATGCTTGTGTGCAATTTTGACCCCTTCAAATACACTACCCTTACTTTGGTGATAACTATCAAAGATTTAGGTATACAACAAATCTTCGGAAACTGCTAATAAAGAAAGGCATCCCCTGACAGTTATATAAATTCAAACCAATATCTGACAATCTTGGTGCAATCTATTTTCTGGGACAGAGCCAAAGGCTTCTTGTGCTGACTGATGTAGAAAAAGAATGAAAGTGTAATGAAAATATGTTTATGCATAAACATTTGTTCTTATGCATGATTATTTCTTCAGGGTTAAGTTCTAGGAGGGAGATTACCAAGTCAAAAAAGATGAAACTTTTTTTGACTCAAAGTGCCTGATATGACCACAACAAAAATCTGCTGAAAAGTGCAGAATTTTACTTCTCCCACCCTCATTTGGAGCCTTAATAAAATCTAATCTAGCATATAACTCCAAACAAGTTTGGTGAGTGAGATTCAGTGCCAATAATCAATAAATACTATTCAGGAGACTAAAGGGGCTTAGGTACTACCTGAGCCAGTACAATGACCACACCAGTGAGTGATGAAGGTAATTTTGCAGTTTGGTAGTCAAATAAAATAAAAAAGTTGAAAAAAAAGTGATTGTTTCTACATTACAGGTAAGTGATTGGCCCTATCTCAGCAAGGAGAGTTTAAACTCTTAGCTTAAGAAATAAAGAATATGTTTAAAACATTTAAAATGGATTTCAGAAAAATAGTTTTAAAAAAGATCTTGGAAGTGAAAGCGGAAAGATTTAAGTTATTTAGAAAAATCCACTAAATACAAAGCACATTTCTTCTAAGATGCTAAGTAAATAGGTGTTAATGTTTCAGTTTGCATATTTACTATGAAGAAAACCCTGATAAGGAACTTCCATGATAATTTAAAGGTTAGAAAATACATAATACGTAAATAAAGGTAAGGCACTGTTAGGAAAGTAGTTATTTTAGAATGTTCGGTAAGTCATAAATAAAGCTCAAGCAAACACTTGTGGTCCAGAGAAGCTTTTCTAATATAACAACTGTGGCTATCTGTTGATTTGAATGGACAAAACTAAGCACATTAAGTCTTAAGTTATGATTCCTTAACTTTTTAGTATTTATTTTATGTATCACTCATTATGTAGTCTACCACCCACTAATCACTACAAAATTCAAGGATCTCTTACAGAAAGAATATCATATCTCAATTGCCAACTGCACTGAGTTTAGCTTAAGGGCTTTTGCCAGAACCTTTCAAAATATTTATTTAGCATTTTGGGGGGGGGATACAATTGTCAGACAAGGTTCTTAAGTCTGAAGGCAAGTCCCCAATTAAAATTTGTCTACTATAAAAATAGATTTTATAATCAATATTTTTATTTTTCACATTTATTATGAAGAGAGAAAACTCTCATCTCAAAAAAAAAGGTTTACTTTTATTTCATTTTATTCCAAAGTAATATACATTACTAAGCAAAAACAAAGACCATTGTGCATTATGGTCCTCCCTTTCTTTGATTTTCCATCATTCAGTGGCCATAGGAAATGTGGGGTGATAAGCCTGTTTCTCACTGTTCCCCTCACCCACGAGATGAGGAAAGGGTTTGAAACAGGTATGCCAGTAAATGATTAACAATCAGCTGGGGAAGGGGAATAGATAGAGTTGGGGGCAGCATCTGTTTCGCAATACTTGGATTTC